ACTTAATATAAAAAAATTATAAAGATTGGTTAAAATTTGAATAATTTTTATTAGAAGTAATTATTAATTTTTATATTGAGATACAAATCTTTTTACATCAATCCATACAAGAAAAAATTATAAAAAATAATTTCTTAAAGTTTTAAATTTATATCTTTAATAATAATTAGAAAATTTGTTAGAAAAATATAATCTTTATAAAAAAGAAATTAATAATAAATTAGTTAATATGCTATTAGAAAATATAAATCTCATCAGAAAATTCCAGATGAAATTCTAAAAGAATTGAATAAGTTTAAGTTTTAGCCAATCAAATTTACTTCACGTGACCAAAAAGATCAGCACAAATTTCGATCAAACTATTTAAATGATGTCATAATAATTAAAAAAGTCAAAATAATTAATGAATAAACTTGAATTATAGACGAGCTGACATAATATGTTTATTTAATATTTGTAGCACAGTATTAAGTGTTAATTTCCTATTATTTTTACGTTCATTGGATTGCAGGTGAGTGAGAATCATGTAATTAATTATTAACAATGTAAGTGGTGAATCATTGTTGGATTTATTATCGGATTCTATGAAAAATCATTCAATCATTATCAAGCTCACGATAGTAATCGCCTAAAGTTTGTCCATATTTAACTTTTTGCCCAGGAACGACGGAAAAAGCAAAACGAGCAGGTGCTTCAAATACTAATACGATTGTGGAACCTAATGCGAATCCACCCATTTCATCACCGGCTTTTAGCGGATAACCACCCAACAGCTTACTGGCTTTTCGATACGATACTTCGGTATATTTTCCAACCACCAAATCCTCTTTTCGATTAGTTCTAAGCGCCTAAAGGGATGTTTTATTCACGATTAACAAATGTCTACGGAAAAGAAAAAATATCTTGATTTTAAAAAAATTACCCGATCGAAATTAATCTTTATAGAACCGACATTGGTAGCACCAACAGGGATCATCGAAAAGAAACCATATTTCCATCTTCCAATTAATACAACACGTTCGTTCAGCACAAATAAATCAGGCATCAAATTGGTCATATACGGAGAAACAGAGAAAAGTTCTCCTAAATTGAACACAGCAAAAGATAAATAAATACAGGGAAAATTATGTCAGACACAGCGAAGATAAAATTACCAGCAAAATGTCGTCGCACTTCCGCGACCCAATTCGTCGGTGAATGAAATCGATGATAATCTCCAGGTGCCAGATATACAACACAAAAGAATAAACCATTTTCCTTATGCACCGTATGACGATGATGAGGTTGTATTTCTTTAGAGTACAAAGGTGATTTAAGCACACTTTTCGATACCAAAGCTTCTCGACTTTCAACATTTTTCTGAGACGATACTACGATTAAGTCATCATCAATTTCACTTTCTTGTTGAACAGCTTGAGCTGGATCATCTCCTAAAAGTGTGTCTAACGTATATTGAATACCATTTAAAATGGCAAATTCTTTTTCATCGACCAGAGTCATATCGCTGCTTGCTGTGATAAAAGTCACCCCTTCAGTCTGCTTATTAAGACCCAGGAAAGCATCTAGTGAATAAGTGATTCCTTTTACTTGTTCCAATTTGCCTTCATTGATCATGCCAAAGCTTAGCACTTTACCATCTGCGGGAGATACCTAATTCACAGATAGTAAATTATCATTAATTGATGTGTACAATCTTATGTCAAAAAATAAAATAAAATAAAAATAAATTACCAAGAGACTATTTTCAATTGGTCTCACGCCAGGTTTAAGAGATCTATAAAAAAAGGATCCTAAATTCGGATAGCTTTTAAGATTTGTCACCTCGATTTCCTCTAAATCACAGTTAAAAATCCTACTATATAGACGATATATAGGCTCTCGTAACCAAACAGGCAAAGTTAACTCATTATTAATTCTACCCCATAATCGAGATAAAGTTCGAAGCGGAAGAGCTCCCAAAACGTGAACCTACATTTATTCAGTAACGAAAATTTAGTAATAAGTTAGATATACATCTCTCAGATCTTTATAAGTTTACCTGCCAAGGCCCACTAACGGTAGGACGTTTTGACAATTCTTTTTTATCCCCTCCTTCTGCACTTTTCTTTTGTCCTTGCTCTTCCTCATGTTCTTTAACATGATGCAAAAAGTTTTGAAAGGCGATAAATGCAATTCCAGCACCAACTGGAATTGAATACCATTGCACCTTAGTATTATTAAGACGCTCACTGAGTCTTTCTAAAAAAATTTAATACCAAAAGAGTATGCTCTATTAAACCCGAGATAAATTCATGATTTAGAAACTTTTATTTTTTAAT